GGATGTTGCTTCAACCTATATGGTGATTTTCTCAATCTGCACTTGCGCCTTAAAAAATGGTAGCAAAACTAGGAAAGAATTCATTCACACTTCCTCCTCAAGATCCTTGAGAAGAAAATCATTCATATCATAATGCTGGAGGGCAATTCCAAATCTGCAGCCAAGGATAGTAGAACCTGGATGGTATTGACCTTTCAATAAAACCGTCTACCTTCTGCTTCACCTAAATATCTCCATTTGCAACCAACTACAAGTAGAGTTCTTTTCGAGACCTTCCATTCCTCAGCCACAGCAGCCTTCCAATTAGATTTTCCAGGAACATAAGGAGAGACATAGAGGACCAGGTCGCAAAATCTTTATAAGATTGTGATAAATATTGATAAGACAAATACAGATGGTGACAACAATCATGAGACTTATGTTCACAGGAAGTGGTAACCAGCAGCATTAGTCCCCTTACTGGGAATCGAGTATCATTAACATGCACATCCATATCAGTTAAATCAATACCAAAAGGTCAACACATGGGTTGGATTCTGCAAACAACTTCAGGATTCACATGAATGGCAATTGATTGGTCAGTTGATTGGTCAACAGGTGTCTTAAGTGTCCAATTCACTACTTCTACGATAGCATAGTTACCAATTACATCTATGAAACTTTGGTAACTTATACCAGAACTTCCCTTAATCACACCACGCTCCCCCTGAAGAGAAGTTTCTGGTTCTCCTAAAATGTTTCTTCCCTAAATGAGATATCACCAAAAACAAACATTTTCAGCGAAGGAGAGTGATAAAACTTTCCATTCTAAGTGGCAGAATATCCCAAAGATATACACTTAGGGATACAAGGATCAAACTTACCCCAGTGTTCTTGGTGGACATGGATATACCAACAGAACCAAACACCTTATCAGGAATACAAAGCTAAAATGGGACTGGGCTGAGAACCAAAAAGGGGCTTTGACGAAATTCAATTGATAAGATATGCAGTCGGGAGTTGCATCCCGAGCAGAGAGCTAACCTGAAATGGGATTTATTTGAATAATAGAATGAACAAAACTGAAGAACTACAATTGAAACAAGACCAGGATTTATAAGAAGAGGAAGAAAAAACAAGATTATATCTCAAAAAATGAAATGGGAACCAACAACAAAAAGCGAAACAACTTCGGGCATGGCCAGCTCCCATAGTGTGACGGGCGGCGTGTACAAGGCCTGGGAGCGAATTCACCGCCATATGGCTGACCGGCGATTACTAGCGATTTCGATTTCATGTAGGCGAGTTGCAGCCTACAATCCGAACCGAGGACGGGTTTTTGGAGTTAGCTCACCTCGCAGGATCACAACCCTTTGTCCCGGCCATTGTAGCACGTGCGTCGCCTAGGGCATAAGGGGCATGATGACTTGATGTCATCCTCACCTTCCTCCGACTTATCACGGGCAGTCTGCTCAGGGTTCCAAACTTAACGGTGGCAACTAAACACGAGGGTTGCGCTTGTTGCGGGACTTAACCAAACACCTTACAGCAACAATTGATGACAGCCAAGATTTCATTTCAATTGGAATTTGGTTATTCAACATTTACGAGGATCCTTGCTAAGCATCCATGGCTGAATGGTTAAAGCGCCCAACTCATAATTGGCGAATTCGTAGGTTCAATTCCTACTGGATGCATGCCAATGGGACCCACCAATAAGTCTATTGGAATTGGCTCTGTGTCAATGGAGTCTCATCATCCACAAATAATGAATTGGTGTGGTATATTCATATCATAACATATGAACAGTAAGAACTAGCATTCTTATTGAGTCTAGAACTCATAGGGAAGAAAATAGATTTATGGATGGAATCAAATATGCATTACCCTAGAAAGATTGAGAAACACATATAGCAAAAAAGATCAATAACCTATATACCCCTAAGAAACGCCAATTTTTATGCGTAGAAACACCATCTTGTTAGGGTGAATCTTTTCCTTCAAGAAAAAGAAAAACTTTATTACAAGAAAGCTATGTGAAAAATGTGGATGAGCCACGAGGTCTCCATAGACAGCCAGTTGAATGTCAAGTCTTGGAGTGGGGTTATAGGCTAGCATTGGTACAAGTGAAATTTCAAGGCCAAACAATCACAACAATGGCAGCAACAACAGGGAGGCAAGGTAGCACCCAGTGAACTATTCCATCTAAACCAAGTCTAGCAAGTAAACCTTAAATTTCTGCAGTCTGATACCATGCTATGATGTTAGATAAATCAAATTTTCTTAATCATCTTCATTTACGAAATTCTTTTTACAGCACGAGATTTCATGGAAATTAATCAAAGTCTTATTAACCTAATCACAAAATTAGGAAATCAATATTTTAAAACACAAGGTTTCATGGAAATGAACCAAAATCTAGTTAACTGTAACAGAACACTATGGTAAATTTTCTAATAGGAAATTCAATTTATTTAGTTATTTTATTTTTTATAATGAAGGTTAAGAATCTATAATTGACTATCCACTCCTCTTTCCATTTAATAAAAAATTATTTTAATGTTTAATTCTTTCCTTAAAATATCAACAGAATTCTTAACAGAAAACAATATAATATGCTGCAAAAGAACACCAAGCTCAAAGAAAAAAGCAGCTGATCTGCATAGACATCAGAAAGAAAAAGGAAGTTAATGTTAAGAATAGTTACCAATACTTTTCAAGGCCATAGAGATTGCCTTTATGGTAAAACTCAACTGTGAGCTGTTCAAAGTCCTTATACAGATCCTCTCTAAAATCCTTCTCCAAACCATAACTGAAATAAGAATACATAGACCCACACATTAGTGCTAATGTACTGGAGAGAAACATACTTAGAATTCTTTGTTAAATAACTGAAAACACAAGTGAACCTTAAAATTCAAGTGGGGACTGCAAATATTACTAAAACAATGTAAAGAGCACAGTTTACCACTAACCTATAGAACCTGAAAAGGCACTCGACTCCATAATTATAACCAGCAGCAGCATCTTCATGTGCGTATTTCCGGAACTCATCATACATCGAAGAGTTGAACATGCTTCTTAGGAAATAAGACCAAAATCTATACAGAGTATTCATTTCCTGCGTGGAAAGTAACAAGACACATCTCACTGCAAATCATGGATATTGAAAAGAGACAATGCATAGAAATCCAGACAATTTTATGTAGACAAACTTGCATGACAAACTAAAATGAAAATCCCATTCATATACTTCGTGGACCAAAACAGAGGCAGTGGCATTGACATTTAAAGTAACTACTTTGAAACTCAATTGCAAAGAGAAACAGTTCAGTTACATCCTCACACACAAACGTAAAGATACAACAATTACATGGAGGTGGATTTGCAACTTTGATGAGTAATGCCAAGAAATGAATTAGCAATTCGTATAACAGAGGATAAAGAATACAAAATTATGTGAGATTGATTTCAGAAGAAATTGAATACTAAATTTAGGTGACAACAATCTAATCATAAATTAAAGCTTTCAACCAATAGAAAAATATCAAAAAAACTACTCTCAATTTTTTTTTTCTTTTAGTATTCTTGGAAAATGAAATTCATATAACATAAGTTCAGATAAAAGTCTACCTCACTGCATCCAATTCCCAACTTCTTCCTGTCATTTAGGCAACGCTTATGATACTTTAGGTACCTAAAAGGAAAGGCACCCATGTTAGATAACAAATTTATGCTCTTGCTCTCTCTCTCTCTCTCTCTCTCTCTCTCTCTCTTCCCCCACCCACCCTGCCCCCGTCCTTTCTCTATCTATCTCCTCTCTTTCTGTATCCAACACACACAAGCATGCACGCAGATCAAAATTACGAAATTACATCCCTTACTTTTGTTGTTTAAAACCATTTTCTTCTAGAAGCTGATGACTTGGATGCTGAAATGGTGGAAATGACTTTGGCACAGAACCCATCGGTGGACTACTGCTCGAGAGAAACCCATGGGGAGAAACACTCAATTTTGAAGACCTTGGTCTGTAAAATTAAAATCATATTTGGATTAGCTTTGCAGAATCACAAGACCTAATATGCTTAGACACTAAAACATTAGCTTGGTGCTGCGACTATTGTCCCTCGATTTTGAGTTTTGTTAACTACAATTTCTCATCTCACAAGTAAGAAAAACAACTTCCGAATCACTAGGTAGAATTGCTCTACTGAAGAAACAAATCCAAAATGTCATAAACAAAATAACATTCATTTTTAACTAACCCATGACTTTCAGGAGGCGTGGAACTAAAGAAAAAGCCAACAGAGTTACTTGGTGGACTTTCTGATATGATTCCTAGAGAGTTCCGAGCAGTTCCATAATTTCTAAAGTTGCTTGAGAAGAATCTCTGTCTATGGGACGACTGCTGATTTTGGAAGTTTTTACTTTGCTTCTTCCGGGAATTAGCACTTCCAGACTCTTCAATGCCAATACTACAGTTAGATATTTCTCCAGGCTTCAATTTTGAAAAGCCTTTGTCAATGTTTGATAATCTTGAGTTTGCATCTCTATTTTCATAGCTGGAGCTGTTCTTTTTACGATTTGATCTCTTGGTTTTCAGTTCCTGCTAATTGATTATATGTTAGGACAGTGAAAGTACAGTAATTAACAAACTCCATTGGGGTTTTCTCAACCTGCTCATAGAAGTAAAGTCCATCGTTTATAGCAGACGCGAGCTCATTGGAAATGGTTTTTGATTCTTTATCTCCAGTTTTAGATCCTTCACCGACTGTACTATTCTGCACAGCAAACAATGAAATGTCAAATTATCAAAATGCTAAAGACATTAAATTAAAGTCCCATGCGTGAAACAAACGTAAAAGGACCTCGTATTCAAAAGACATAAGTTCAAGAAACATCTCTTTTTTATGGGATGAGGCAGTTGTTGCATGATTCATTGGTAGACTAGCAGATTAACACTTTTGATACGACAAAGATGCCTTCACAGCATATAGAAAAGATAGATGCTCTAAAACGCTATTTAGGCATTAAAGGAGTTGTGAAACTAGACAAGTTAGTTGCAATAAATGAAAGTGAAACTGACTGGGATAAGTTTGTTTATTTTTTGGGAAGAATATCCTGATGGTACCCCTGACACATCACCCTTTTCATCTTACCATACTACAATCTTAAGCACCAGATATACGTCTGATGAGGTTGTATTTGCACCAACAGAAAACAGATATCAAATACATCCAATAACTCAGGGGGTCGCATTCCTATGTGCAATACTAATATTACTCGTTATGCTTCTTGAGAACATTATACAGTGTTTACATCTGCTAGATAGAGCATCCAACAAACTTATTGGCTAAGTGGAGAGGCCCAAGACTTTTAATTTATCTATTCGAAAAAATACATAATTTCATTGGCAAGGAACAGAGCAACGCAGAGGACAAGTTATCCACTAGACTAGCTAGAAAACGCTAGTTAAATACAACAAAAGACTGCAAAACATAGCTGAACAGGACATTATACATTGTAATACAAGGCTTCACTTTATTAATGCCACATACTCTCAACACACACCCTCATGTGTGGTGT